TACACAGTTTGTTTGGAATGAGGGTTTTGCAATTCCCCTAGGTGGACTCTCCGTGTCCACCAACCCTGGTAAAGCGCTGGACATTCGCTTTCCATTCTCTTAATTTCGTTAACACCCCCACCGCGAGAAGGCATTGAGTAGAACTTCCCTGGTAGTGGTTGTATACATGTGAGAGCATTTCGAAAGGAAGAATTGACTTCTCCCACTCTCGGCCGTATCAGGGCATATTTAGTAGGATTCCAGAATTTGAATGATTACTTGAATACTAGTGACATGACATTTACAAAAATGGATCGATCATCCATATTATTTTACCCATGAACTTGTCAATAGTATCAAGAAACGCGTTAGGTTATAACAACACAGTTTTTATTATCGGACTGATCTATTGATTCTTATTATTTTTCGTCTTGATTAAGAAAGGCTTTATTGTTTAATACTAATCATTATTCTTATTTAAAAAAAATCTAACTGCAGCTGAACTCGTTCATTCAAACATTTCGTGGTTTTGTCTCAATTGAACAGCTAATTGATAATGGACTAGTCAATGAACACATTATAACAATTCTATCAAAATTATTATGTTACTTGAAAGAGTCATTAACAAAAGTTATGTTTTCCAACCTTCCAGAATATTTTATGCAGGTTAGAAATGTTCCTTTCCTTATTATTAGTATTTTTATGTGTTTCTACCTGATGTATAATATTATAGTAATGGAACCAAGAATTATTGATATAAATTTCTTCATTATAGAGTGAAAATTTTTTCATCACTGGGTGGTGATCAATGTTATGTATATCAGTTTCTTCTTTATGTAGATCGAATTCTATCGACCAAGTTGCAATGTGGCCACTAGTTTTACAACTCGAACAGTATCTCAGCCCTCAAACAAATGGGATGATTTATATGACGCACATCTATTCGGTGCCTTCTTGTACCAATGTTTATGTGTTTAAATAATAATAGTAATGTGAAGATACGGTGACTGTTATATCCGAGCAGTTGATCAGTCTCTTGTCAGAATATGTGTATCCTGTGTGGGTTGCCTCGATATTACCTTAAGTCACAAGCTTTATAAGCGAAGATCGGTGATAGCTAGCAATGAAATCCAGAGCGCGCGTCTCCTCTTATTAGGAAGTCGTCAGCGGGATATACCTACATTTCAGAGTCCATGTGTACTCCGGGACTCGAACCCAGCATCGTTCGGTTCAATATTTACCCCATTGCACAAATAAGTGGCTATCAGAACTCAGTAGCTAAGTGGATAACATGATGGCGTCTGAATCGAACGGTACTAGGTTCGAGTCCTGGACTAAACGTCAAATCTTAGGTGTAGGTACACACATCCGACGAGTCCCAAATAAGATGAAACGTGCGTCTTGGATTCATCTATTAGCTACTGTCCATCTTTGCTTACTGTTCTTAAATTATGTTCAGTTTATTGATTACATTCTCCCATAATCACAGCCCCCTTTTGGTTTTATCTTATATAGATGCTATTTCTTATTTTATGGTATAATGTGGTCTGTTTCGCTGGTATATAAACCGATTATGTTTGAGATAAATGATTCTCATAATGGAAGCTGTTATTAGCGTTCTAGATGGACTAGGTGAACTCTAGGCTGTTTATACCAGTTGAACATCATTGATTTAGCACAATGCTAAGATTGAATAAGTCGTATTTCAATGGACGAATAAATCACATGATAACTAATCGAACTTTAAAGACACAACACAGACGATATTGATTTACCTTTGACAATCTTAATAATATTGGTTTTTTCCTATTTTCCCCCCTTCCCAAACAGTATCATAAACTCTTACGAGTCAGTTTACATATCTTCACATATCTATTAAAAAATCCGATTGATGATGTCATAGTTACTATGGTGAAAGAATCAATCAATTGTATATATTTCACATTTGATAATATATTAAATAAATATAATAAATTAGATGATGTTATATTAAGGTCTATTCAATGTTATATTGAATGGTTATTCAATGATCAATATAGGAATATGAATGAATATTTATCATTATTACAATTAGCTACTAATTTATTCTCGAATATATTCGATAAAATCAATATTTTATTGATTAATCAAGTTCAATTGATTGGTGATAATAATGATATATTGTTTGGAAAATGTATTGGTTATACAAAAGACGAACGTATCAATCACCCTGTATCACCAATTTTAATGTCATTTATTGCACAATCTATTACAGAAGAAATTGAAATATCAAGTAGATTTGTTAGACAATTCGTCAATTTCAAATTTCATGTAAGTAAGATATCATATATTATAGTAAAGATTAATTTGAATGTATTTATTCTTGAACATTGTGTTTTTCCCTAGAGAGAGGCGACTGAACAGTCGTTTTGGTGAAATTGATATAGGTAGATAGGTAACAGTTACACATACCCCCCCAATGCCCTGGTACAACTGAGAATGAGGAGATTCAACCCTCATCCCTCTCGAAATGCTCTAACATGGTCACATGCATACAAGCACTGCCAGGGAAGTTCTACTCACTTCATTCTCGTGGCATTACTGTTGTTTACGAAATCGAGAGGACGAAAAGTGAATGTTCAGCGCTTTAGCCGAATTGGTGGATATGGAGAATCTACCTGGGGTAGTTCGGAAACCTTGATTCTAAACCAATTGTGTACATGGGCTTAAGGATCCTAAGGAAACAAATGGAGTATGAACCAATCGTTGATCACTGGCTACTATGGGACTGGATCTTCTGACGTTGCCTCATTGCCTTTTGGATTAGACCTTTAAGTCGAAGGCCCCAGGTGGGTTCCCTCAAGAAAACCATGTGCTTCATTTTGGGCACCCGGACAATATCCTAGCCCTCAGACAAATGGAATGATTTATGTGGGGCATATTTATTTGATGCCTTGTACCTATGTTTTTGTGTTCAAATAAATAAATACACATGCATTCTCTTTCAAAGCACTGGGCAGTAATTATTAAAGCGATGTATACTACATGTTAATTTTTAAACAACAAATGCCAATCCATATAATGATAAAAACTGTAGTTATACCTTGATGTTTTGTGAGTATGTTTATCTGATTGAAATTCCGTAAAACAGTGTGATACACACACTGTGGGCAGTTTTCAAAATTTACGGGAACCAAACCCATTCACTACAGAAGTGTGACATCAAGTTAACCACTTGATTGAGTCTAATATTTTTTCGTATGTTTAGTATCACAGTTCATGAATTTTTTTAATCAAACCACTCGATAAGTGCATGATCGGACTAAAATCTACCAGGCTTTATAATAACCACACTAGGTATACTGTTTATTTACTAAACCTAGTACTGATGATATCATGTGACATGTAGTTTAATATACATTTTGCAATAAATAGACTAAAGGAGGAAATGGTACTTTCTAGTCTAAATATTACATTCACAAACGTTTCATCCATGAAAATACGTTAACTCTTACAGAAAGCAGTATCTTTGTGAATGGTAAAGTGTTGAACAAGATAACTCTTATTTCAGTACTATTTAAAAACTGGGTAAGAAGATATATTGCTCATCAACATTTTCCAGTCAAGAAAAAAAGACAAACTACTTGAAAATAGATCAGCAACCCACTGAAAAACTGAACACACAAAATAAGGCAAACGAACCCTTACACATATGTACATACCCACAAAAATTAGATTAGCGAAATGTTGTATAGCGATCTGCACTGTACCAACTAATGACTAATAAATATAAATTCATTTATTTCACGACTCCTTTATTTTGCATTTTGTAGACACCGATGACATACTTCCATCTATTTTGATCAGTTGTTTCAATTGACGATAAACAGTTTATTTAAAATAATTGACACAACAGTAATAAGTAGTTTCATTCGCGGTCATATGTATTGTCAAACATCAAATATGCATACTATTATTTTCACATTACTGACTTATATCTACGTCTACAATTTTAACATCTCAACGTAAATGGACAGTGATTTTGTGAATCGATTTATATTCGATAAATTTTGATTATTTCCATAAAGAAGCTCGAATAAAACTACCCTGTGACTTGATTTCGTGAATTAGTTGAAGTTAGACATTAACATCATAGGATGCCAAATTAGTGGTCTAGAGCGGGACGATAAGTCGTGAATTCGAATCTCGCGAGACTGGATCATAGATGCGTACTGCTGAGTCCCACAATAAGACAAAATGGCCGATCAATGATTCCATGGTGGTCTAGCTTCAACTATTGAAATAAAACTTAATTGTTAAGATTTTTTCTTACAAATACAGTTTGCTTTCTACCCCTTTCATTATGGAAACTGTTCAATTGTAGTTCTTACAAAATGCTAACGAAACACTTTTTCTCTTCATAAACAAATTTTTTTCTAGGAAGAAAAAGAAAATCAACAAAAACAAACTATTTTCAATTTACTTAATGATACACATAGATCATTCAAATTATTTTTATCATTAGCATTTAGTGGTATCAGTGTACCAGAATGGTCAACAGTTGAATCATGTATCCAATTAGCTTGTGATTTATTAACCATATTAACTCATGAAAACAAAACTGTTGATCCATTAGTTATTTTAGATGATCAACTATTATTTGAAATTAATGTATGTCTATTATTAATATTGTCTAAAGGTGTACCACCACCTCAAAGACTTATAGTTAAATATGCAGAACTTTATTGTTCCTTAGCCAAATTATTTTCATATAAACAATTTGTTTTATTAAGTTTTATAACTGGCAATATACACACTATTAATCAAGAATATAAATTGAAATTAATACAAATTCCACATTGTAATATTTTAATTGAAATTATAACAGATTGTTTATGTTATACAAGTTTAGCGGAACGAGCACGTTTTGTTACCATAGTAACAAAACCTTTCGTTTCACTCCATAAAGTGACGAGCAGTATAACAACTTTTATGCGTTTATTATCACCACGACCACCACCACCACAAAAACTTGAAAAATTGTAAACATAAATTTATTTATAAAGATTTATTGATATAAACACAGATGAAATAATAAATATTATACAATGAATTGTTGATTTTCTTTTTCTTCTTCTCCTCTGTTTAATTCTGAACTTTCAACTTGAGTTTCTAAGCCCTATTTATAGAAAAGTTAAGATTACATAGGGAAATTATAAAGATCACTTACATTAGTGTAAATCAGGATATCATTAGCTTCACCATTCTCAGTCTGTACTAATATTTCTGAATTATTATCGTTTATTAAGTCTAGATTTTAGAAAGTAAAGAAATTTTTTAAAAATAATGTAAAATTACCAGCTTGATTTACAATTGCTAGTTGAGGTTGACCATTTTCACCTTGAATCATTACTAATGTCTGACCTTCTTCAAGTTGAAGATCATCAGGAAGTATAAATTGTTGTACCACTTCACCACCTTCATCAGTTACATCAATGGTGGTTGTTCCATCGCTTTGAGTTGTAATCTGAGTTCCGCTGAGCATGGCTGTTTGATCTTCTTGTGACTCAATAAGTCGCATAGACTGTGCCTGGTCTGTATCAACGGTCATCATAACCACATCATTATCGGAAATATTGGTAGTTGATGTAGACAATAAGGAAGGTTCACTAATCATGATAATCTGATCTGTAGTTCCATATGGGTTATCACTCTGAAATGAAATATAAATTACGAGTTAGCGTGAAATAATATTTCGCTAGATTGATACTGTTTTAACATGTTACTTGTGTGCCCTGTTCATGTATAACGTAACGATACTGCCAATTAGAGAGCAGTGAATTATCGATCGGACCAATGACGCCTAAAACCCGTGTGAGCAGTCTAGAGTACTTATCGGTCCTGCTTCATGCCTTGACTAGCTAGTTAAATTCAGAACACAAATCTCAGCCTCTGCGACATGAATCGTTTATTTCAAACATACTAGGTTTATATACCAACCAGACAGACCACATCGTACCATAAAATAGAAAACAACATTTGTACAAGAATTAGCCAAATGTAGCTGTGAGCGCGCGAGGTAGTAATTAATAGATAGGGCATGATTCAAGAATGGTTAATTGTATAATAATAGTTCATAGGTCAAAATAAAGAGGGGGATGAATAGTTTAGTTACCTAACAATTATACGACAAAATTATATGCATAGTATTGGCCCATAAATTGATCCCCAAAGTTATTCATTATGTTTATCGGGGCACAACAGATAGCTATATATAGACCATTAAGAAGTAGTGGGATATTTAAAGTGGAAAACTAGATCACCTCATACCACTTGCAACCGAACTCGGTGAATCTTGAAATATTGAGTTAATTTGGTCTATGTGGGGCAACGGCTTCACCATAAACTTGGGACGTTATCAGAAACAGCTAAAGATAGAAGCGTACTAAGCAAGAAAAGGACGATTATGGACTGCTTTTCTCATACACTAGTCCTTACAATTTACGTTTTTAAACCCGATTGTATACTTCAGCGGCTCATCTTGACTTCACTAAGATGCTAAATGATTGCGTTCAGAAATTTATAACTGAATGTGATATATTAAGCAGCACTGTGATATTACACATGCCAATTGAACGTAGGTCAGACGGACATGTCTAGTTGTTTTTAGAAAGATACTTTGTTGATGTTTACCACACCTTGGGAATTCATAATTGTTCTCTGAATGTAGGTTTGAAAAGTATGTCCCATATACATCCAGAAACCATGTAAACTTGTTATTTGACGTCAGTGTGATTCTACTAGGGCCGATGTATTTGACTACATTCCCACTAATAGTTGTGAATGTGGGAAGTGCGATCTTTGTAATCACATACGCGCCAACAAATTACAGTACCGAATGCACCGGAATCATTTTTCATTACTACCTTGTCATGTTAGATGAATCGTTTTGCATTTTATTATGTGATTCGACTGAGTCACAATCCCATTGGAACTTCATTAATCTATTATATGGAGGAAGGGAAATGGGGCTTCACTGGAAACATTCAGAAAGTCATGCCTATAATTCAAATGAACAAATAGAAGTGTCTAGGTTAAGCCGAACAAAAATGTGAGGACAGTGAACTTGACTGGATGTATAATTTACTTACGAAACCCTTATCGTACCTGTATCTTAATCCAGAATATAACCAATCTTGCCTTACATGGCACATTAATCTCTTGCGGGTGGACTGTCGCTGATGTGTTAATGAGCTTCTTTACCCTACAATTCAAACTGATCATATATTTTAATCAACTACCGCTAGTGCGAATGTATTCCGAACCGGGCATTTTTTTATTTTTTGTCATGTTTTAGTATAAACAAAAATACTTTTTAATAATTAACAAGTTAAACGGGGTTGTAGGTTGCAAAGAGTGACCATGGTGAATATAGAGAGGAGTATCAGAAAGTAAAACAAGTTGGGAACCGTAAAGAATTGAGAACAATATGTAACTAGAGCTCAATTTTCTAAGTGTGCCGAACAGGTTGATGAACTAAACTGTGCCAATCAGAAATTGGCCATTGCTTTTATATATATACTATGCCTCGGTTCAGTTTTAGGTTCGCATATAAGAAGTTTGTGTGTCAGTATCATAGTTGAAGGTCACAAAAAAAGAACACTCATGAAACATGCCGCTGATTAAGAATTCATACCTAAATAGTCAAGATCTTTTTTGCATTTCTACTCGGCTAAGACTTCATTTGTGATTTTTAGTAATCTAAATTCGTATAAAGCTTAAAAGACGATAAGGTATCAACCTACTTCATTTCGATCCGACTCTTGATGTTTTTCAGAAGCTTCACTTTGTCTAGCTTCTGTCTGTGCAAATGATATTGACATGTCTGGACGCAGCGTTGCAGTTAGTGTTCCACATTCTTCAACAAGGTGTCGTGCAAGACTATTGCCATCTAGGTTACTTGTTCCACAGTGTGAACAGTATAGAAGTCGTGAGTCGACTTGACTTTCCATATATCTTCTTATAGAGTCATTCGGGTTAGGCTGCTTTGTTAAACTTTGCTTCTCAGTTTCTGGTACATTCACAACATTGCCCATTTCGTCAGTGAAGACAATTGTTGTAAAATTTCCCATGTCACTAGGTGTCAAATCCGTAATCTCATTTACGACAAGATCTTGTCGATCACCTGAAACAGTCGCTAGTCCCGATGACGCATTGTCGTTACATGGAAGATTGTATTCATTGCACCAGTCGAAAAAGATCTGACGAACCATTGGCATACCACAATCAAGATCTGTTGATTGAGAAGCATTCGAATAGACATGAAGTTTTTGAAAATGACGCTGAAAGCCAACACTACAGCATGTTGCAAATCTGCACACGGAACACGGTAAATATTGCCTGCAAACAAGATTATTGTTGAAGTGGAGATGAAAGAGGGTTTACCATTAAATGGCTTAAAAGATTTATTGAAAAAGCAAATATTAAAAATTGCTTGTATTTGTTATTTTGAGGGTCTCCGTTGGATCATACGACCTGGAAAACATATATTTAGTATTTATGGCGCTTATTTCAATCTAATGTAGTTAGAATCGTTCAAAAGTCTAAGATATTGTACATTCATAGCACTCTAATTGCTCTAGTTAAACAATCTTATAACCTCATACTTACTACATTCAGTAATTTATCCAAGTGAGATCGATATAATAAGTGAGTGAATATTATTATCTTAACAGTCACATAAAGGCAGTTGTTCCATTTTTCTATAGATTTTGCTGTAGGGCAAATGAAATAGTTCTTTTTCGTGGTTTTATTTGATTTTTTATACACCAATTATGTGATCGATATTTCAAACACTTACGCATGTTCAGAATCACCCATACGTTTTCCACATTCCAGACATTCCAAACTCTCAATATTCTCAGGTAAGAAGTTTATAGCTAAGTTTTTTGCACAACCAGCCTCCGGAGCATTCATTGATGTTACATGTGGTCGAACTATACGAATCGAATCTATGGATGTGTTGTGGTCGCCGAAGTTCTCAGTAGCCTGGGTCGTATGCTGTTTTGTTTGATAACATTCTAGCTATGAAAAATTGAATAATAGTTAAGAAATTAGGTTTGAAATAGTTAAGGTAAGAAAAATGAGCGGGTAGAATTATAGCCGCTTACTGATATTTATTAGAAGGGCATTCTATTTATACTTATATGAGAGGATTGGTGTAATTCAGTAACCAAGTAAATTAATTCTACCTGACTTTGAGTCATACTCACTTTTTACGAGGAACTTGAAGCTATTGACGTCGAAAATAAGTGTAATTCAAATCCGAAAACCAGCATTCAAAAGTTGAATGCTTGATTCACTAAGTCATCAAGATAACTGTGTTCGTGTTAAGGACAGAACGACCAATGCTTGACGCTGTCGACAATCTACTGTTAAGCTACAAAACCTATTGAGTCTAGAAATCAAGCCCAGGTTGGTGCATATACACACTAAAGTTAGTGGGACAATGTTGATTCGATTAAATATTCTTTTTCACGTGTGAAACCTCTGCAGATGGTTAATAGACGTTTCTTTCTAGTCAGCGAGTGGTTACAAATCTCCAGTGCGAACTATACTCGTCTGTAGAATCAACCATTACTAACAACTGGAGATTAAAAAAATTCTTGTAAGTCTATCCAGCGCTGATGGATAATACTGGACTTGGTTTGATATTTGTGTGACCAATTCGTTTTTTAATATTAAATACTGTTTCCATTCACTTATCCCTTATACGGCTCTTCCCTTTTGTATTTTTTCGTAATTATATTACCCCATTTTGTACGACACATTTTTGTTGTTCTGATTTATTATCTACGCCACAAAATTCGAGTACAAACCTATTTCCTGTTTTTCCAATTATTATGTATTGTGCTTCGATGTTTAATGCAACAAAGTCATGTCGCCAGATGTTCAGTGTTTTTTGACCATTCAGTTTAACAAGTGTTGTTTATGTATCCAGTTTTGTTATAAAACTAGTTAAGCATACACTTTACAACTCACTTATAAATTGTAAATAGGGAAATCAAGTAAATTACTTTTAACAACTAACCTCATATGAATCTTGACGAAGATCTGGCTTCTCAGTACCTAGGTCTCTTGTGGCTTTATGATCTAGGCGTCGATGTACTTGGTAGTCTGATTTATTAGTGAAATTTAAACGGCACGTTGGACATCGACGAAGTTGGTGTTTGATTTGATGCAGACGTAAATGTTGAAGATAAACTTGCGTCTGACCAACACCTAAACCTAGGCCTACAGTACTTATCCCACCAGAAGCTGACAGACAAACTGGTTGAGCGTTCGAACGCGCATCCGAAGGGGTAAATATACGAAGACAATAGGTGCAAAGTAAATGGTTTGAGCTATCATGCATCTGTAACAAAAAAGATCATATGATTATGAAACTGTATAGGATTAACGAAGTAGATACTAAAGTTATAAAATATATTAGAGATGTGGTTGCACTTATAGGATATCATAGAAATAGGGATAGATTTTACTTGTAGCTTATCACAATTTCTGCAGGATTCTTACAACTACTTGACACCCATCACTTTATGTCGGTGGATCGTATGACAATGGGCGTAGACTTTCTACGCATAGAATCCCACAACGCAAGTATAAGGATAGCAAAACTTGGTAATAACAGTGTTAAGGAGTTAGAAGAAGCAGGTGCATTGTACAACTCGCATACTTTGTTTCGACCCACCAGTGTCACTAACAACAAGAAGCCTGATATCAGTAAAACAGTTCATGCGATTAATGCCTCTCCAATTAGTAACATACGTTTGGGTGTCAACCGTACTGTCATGTGATAAAAGAGGATAGTCTGATCAACGTTGTTGGAAAAATCAACCTACCTTGTGTAGCACATGCTTTTGGTTACTAATTGTATAAACAATTTCTGTTACAGAAAAAGTACGAATGCGATAAACAAGGAACCGCAACCTCCTTTATCCTATCAAGTTTTTATAATAACATCTATTCGGACAGCCCATAGGCGGTTGTTGAAAGAAATTAATCTAACTTATAGTATTAACGAAGCGACATGAAGTAAAAAGTGGAAGAAAAGGATTGATAAACTAAGTTAGAACGGGGAATAAATTTTGATATATAAGTATGTTACTAACATGACAGTGAAGAAAATTCGCATCCAATGTCAGCTGGTGAAACATCTAATCTTGTTGTTTTTTACCGAATGAAAACAATGTAGTTTCCTGAAGTCGTAAAATAATTATACCATATTGCTTAAAATGAAGTGGAGTGATCATCAAATCATTTTACAAGGGTAAGACGAGTGAACTGAAGTTTGGAAAACAGTGAATAAAAAAATGGGGTAGCTATCCCCAGAAAGGTATATTACGAGAAAACGTTTATACAAAAGACGTTCTTTAGTTTCCTATTTTGAAAGTAATATAAAAGGCTTAAGATACTATATGACAAACTTGGATTCTCGTTCATAACTAGTTATTAGTCATATGTTAAGCAATTCATAGTCATACCATCAGTGGGAGAGATTTGAACTTACCACTTTGCTATCATAACTCAGTTATATAATGGACACGGCAGGGCTACTAATGAGACGAAGCGATTTCTGGTGAGTAAAAAACGCTAGTTGGGGCATTAGAGCGAATGTCTAGCGTAGCATAGAAATTTTTACCGGTGGATATATTGACTTAAAATTTTAGTTTCCAAAGCTTGAAATCGTTTTCATAATATGCCCTTCACAATACATGATAAGTTCATCGTAGATGTAGACTACCTGATTGGGATTCGCGAGACGATAGCAACCGATATTTGGAGACCTTGAATGATATGGCTCAAAATCGTTTGCAGTGGCGTAGTTGTATCCACTCTTTGTGTTCTCTCAAATTCTAATCTTATGAGCTGTTCATGTCCGTTTTTTCTCTTTCCAAATTTATTTCACTGGATTATACTGTATAAATAACATCTTCAAACTTTAATGTCTTCGTTTACCGTTCTTATACTCTTACTACCTCTACCGCTAGGGGATTTGGAATCTACAATTGTATCTGTGTGCTAATGTGGTATGGCAACTCGAACTGATGTACGTACGTACGAAGTTCTACGTTGTTGCTGAATGACTGACTGACTATCGCACAATCATTCCTTATGAATGAGGGGAAATACAAATAATTGAGATGGGAAACGAACCAATAAAACATACCTTTTTGAAGTGATCCAGTATGTCTTCATACATAGATGATCGAAACAAGCATAGGCGACAAACATAAGGCATTTCACGTTGACGATGAGTGGACTGAAGGTGATGTGCTAATAGTAATTTGCTGGCAGAAACTTTCCCACAAATGCGGCAACTTGGTGTATTTGTGATACCATTAAAGTTTGGTGCTAAAATCTCCATATGGTCAAAATTACTGACAGGATCATCATGACCATCTCCTATTCGTTGTTGAGTTAGTAGCTGGGAGGTAATTTGAACAAGGGGGTTCGTTTTTGCTTCATCATCTACCAAATTTGAATCAGAAGGTGGAACAGTATGCTCCTATAGGTATTACAAGAAAGACAAAAAAGCGACCTCATTAGAAACCAGCCACACATTATCAAACCACAAAGAATGTGAAAAAATCATACCATTTCTATAGACCTTATTTATTATTATTATTATTATTATTTGAACACATAAATATTGGTACAAGAGAGCGCCAATATATATGCGCCACACAAAACAATGGGAATTCGAAGAGAAGTAGAAAGAAAAAAAAAACTAAGGAACGCAAAAGAAAAAGAGAGTAATGACGAAGAGGTACAATCAGAAGAAATCTTTCAGGTAAAGGAGACACAACCACTTTTTATGAAGAAAGTAAAAGAAGGTTACAGCAGGATCGCCACTGGCTTCTATTCTGAGCCATATCTGATAACGTCTCTAGCCACTGTGTTGCACCATCTCTCGGACCCCAACCAGGGAGTCGTGAAGGACCAACACAAGCCAGTCCTTTGCAGCTTTCTTTCATGCCACGACACCATGTCATGCACTGACCACCTCTCCGCTTCTTCCAACCAGTCCCAGAGTCGGCAAATAATGCACGACGTGGAATTCTCTGGGACGACATTCGGAGAACATGTCCAAGCCACCGAAGTCGGTGTTTCAAGATGGTGACACCAATTGAGTTATCATCTCTGTGCCCGAACACACGATGCCGAACCTCTGCATTACTGACATGGTGTTGCCACTGAATGTCAGCAATCCTTCGGAGACAGCGATGATCGAACACAGAGAGTCGTCTAACGTCCTCAACTCGGAGAGGCCAGGTTTCACAAGCATAGAGCAAAACTGCTCTCACCGACGCGTTGTAGATCCGGCCTTTTACAGCCAGACTAACATCACGAAGGCGCCAAAGGTGGCCCAGATTGGCATAAGCCGCTCTGGCTTTCACTATTCGTGCATTGATCTCATCACTCACACCCCCACCAGCACTTATGCAGCTACCCAGATACACGAACTTCTCAACTACGTCTATCTGCTCACCATCCAGGGTGAGTACAGGATTAGAATCCTGCCAGTCTTGTAGAAGTACTTTGCACTTCGAAGGTGAAAAGCACATACCATACCTACGGACACTGATTGCCAACTGATTAAGTGCGGATTGCATGCCTTGGGCATTATCTCACAGTAAGACAATATCGTCCGCATACTCAAGGTCGAGAAGTCTTTCTCCAGGCAACAGATCCACACCACCATTACTTACATTCATCAGAGCTGTTTCCAGAATGTCATCGATGGCAAAGTTGAAGAGGAATGGTGAGATTGGGCAACCCTGCCTAACCCCACTGCTCGAATGGAACAATGGAGAGAGGTGGTTGTATGCCCTCACTCTGCCTGAGGTGTTTTTATACAGGGCTTTTAGGATGTTAATAAACTTCTCAGGCACACCCTTCTTCAATAGACAATCCCAGAGAACAGTCCTATCCAACGAATCGAAGGCAGCCCTGATGTCAAGAAACACTACGATTGTTGGCCTTTGATAAGTATGGCGGTGTTCTAACATTTGGCGGAGGGTGAAGATATGATCAATACATCCTCGACCAGAACGAAACCCAGCCTGCTCCTCGCGAGTCAATCTTTCTCGGGTTTTGAACAACCTACGAAGAATGACGGAAGCCAATAGCTTGGACGCAATCGGAAGTAAACTTATCCCCCGATAGTTGTTACAAGAACGACGTGAACCCTTTTTAAAGATAGGGACAACTATCGACTCATTCCATGACGTTGGTACACTCTCTAGATCCCAAACCTTTGTAAACAACGTCGTCAATTCCTTAGTCAAAAAGTCACCACCATCTTTAAAAAGAGCCGGAGGTAAGTCATCTGGGCCAGGTGATTTGTAACGCTTCAAGAGTTGGAGTTCCTTGCGGACTTCCTCCTCATTTGGTGGATCAGTCGTCACCGGCCATGGAGGGCAGGACAGTCTGACCGATGTTGCCGGAGCAGCAGGCCAGTTGAACTGCCCTTCGAAAAATTCTGCCCATCGTCCAAGACGTCGATGGATGTTAGTGATTGGCATCCCATCATCCTCGCAGATTGTTTCACTCACACCAGACTTCTTGCTGCCAGTGGCTCGGATGAGTTGGAAGAGCTTCCGGTAGTTACCAGATGCAGCTGCTGCTTCCAGCTCATTAGCACGCATCGACCACCAGGCTTCTCGGTCCTTACGCAAGCTTTGCCCGATTTCCTTACGTAAAAACCTTCGTTTATGGTCAAACTCACGGTTACCCGGAGTAGACCGACGGGCTTCAATGAGTTGTAAGGAACCAGAAGAAACCCAGTGCTTAAAAGCGGGACGTTTCGCAAACCCACAACTGACTGTTCCCGCCATTTTCATAGCGTCATGCAATTGCAACCAATGCTCATCTATACTTTTCGGTGGAGTGGTAGCTAGCCTAGAGGCTAGCTCGGTTCGATACTTACTTGCAACAGAAGTTGCAACCAGCTTGCTAACATCAATCCGTTGATGGCGTTCACTTCGTTGTCCACTGAAAAGTAAGGCAAAATTGGCGCAGACCAAGGCATGGTCAGAGTCCAGATAGGTACTCCAAAAGGAGCGGCAGTCTTGTACACAACCACGCCAGCGGTAGCTGATCGCGATGTGATCAATCTGAGTCCAGGCTTGAGATGCAGAGGGAGGACGCCAGGTGGCACATCGGCGATGACTGTGCCGAAAGTTAGTGCTAGCCAGAAACAGGTTGTGGTCTGCGCAAAGTTGCAGTAGACGGTCCCCGTTATCTGACCTGCGACCAACGAGTCCCCATCGGCCACCTAAACGACTCTCTTCTGTGCCTAGACGCCCGACCTGAGCATTCAAGTCTCCGGCTAGTACTACAATATCTGTCGAACGCACTTTCTGGAGAAGAACTGATAACTGGTGGTAAAACTCATCCTTGATTGCATCCGGGCTGCAATCTGTCGGGGCATAGGCGGAGATGACGAAAAGAGATCGTTTCTCACGCCGATTTCTTCTCACTTTGATGGAACTTTCTAATCTAACAGCACATAACCGACTGTTAATGGGGATCCAATCGACTAGTGCTGCCTCAGCTCTAGCGCTTAGTGCGACACCAACGCCAGCAAAACCAGACGAAGATGCCACAGGGTCCCCGGATAAGCGCACGTAAAACAAGCTTTTCGAAGCGACAGATGGAGATCGAATTTGTAGTACTTCGCCAGAGTCTTGAATACGGGTCTCGGATAGACAACACACGTCGATATTAAGACTTTCCAAAGACATAGCCAGCCCTATCTGTTGTCCGACCTGCATAAATGTGCGAACGTTGAAGGCAGCCAGTTTGAATGATGCACGTGGTTTCAGAAAATCTGCTTCAGTCCTCGTATTCGGTGGTAACATACAATTTTCAACCGGACAGTGACTCGAGAACGTTTAGATACAGTCGGAATTCCACCAAAGACGAGCCGCTGTATAAGTATAAAAGAAGGTGAATAATGTGGAAAGTAATAATAATAATGATAATAATAACAATAATGACAATAATAGTAGTAATAATAATATTATTATTAATAATGACAATAGATGAAGTGATCATAATTTGAATCAATTGATTGTTTTTCAAAGCGACAAAAGTAGTTTCCATAGACATAAACAGTTCATCATTTGTGTGTGGGCTGTGATACTGCCCGGGTGCCCAAACCGAAGCAGGTGGTTATCTTAGGGAGCCACTCCCCGAGCCTTTGACCTAAAGGTCTAACCCACAAGGCAGTGGAGCATCGTAAGGAGATGCAGTCCCATGGTAGCCGGTGACCAACGATTGGTTCATACGCCATTCGTTCCCGCAGGATACTGGAGCCCATGTGCACCATTGGTTTGGGAGCCGGTTAAAGCGCCGGACATTCGCTTCTCGTCCTCTCATTTTCGTAAACAACACCCCCGCCACGAGAAGGCAATGAGTAGGACTTCCCTGGCAGAGGCTATATACGCGTGGCCGTGTGAGAGTATTTCGATAGGGAGAGCGGACTCTCCCCACTCTCGGCCGTACCAGGGCATTCAGGGGGCCTATAGACCTTAACACTATATTAGTTCAAGAGGTATTTTGGTAGAAGGTAGTCTACAGTATAAAACATCCACTTAAATATATTGAGTTATACAAGGATAAGTTAACTTTAAAATGTTTAAATACAAAATTTTAGATACACAAATAAACATGATTAATTGTCGCAAGCTTTTCGAGGATATGAATTTTGTAAGCTATTCACAAACATGACTGTTAGGGTATGCTTTCGTACGCCATATCACAAAAAATACGATTACTAATTGAAACAAAAGTTATGAGAGCCATGGCGAAAGTCTATTAAATAAAATAATGATAATAATACCAACAAAAATCAATTATTCAAACTTCGCGAGTAGTTCGACTAAAGACAAGTATTTCAAGCTCTTAGTCATCAAAACAGCTAAATATTAGTTAACAGATAGACAAATAAAAAGAAAAACTGGTTGCTATGTAAGTTGAATATGGTTGCAAAAAATAAAAGTGAAAATGAAATAAAACACTAGTTCCATCGGAGTTGTGCGTAAACAACAAAGTGATATGAGAAAAAGATGAAATAGTTTAATGCTAAGGGGTTTGTATGAATTACTGACAACTGAAGACGAATTATGACTAGTACCACTTCAAAATAAAGAATTATAAATAAATAATTCATAACTCACTTTTTCAATGTGATCTCTTAGATCAAAAGCACAAGAGAACATTTGATTACAAACGGAACATTGTGTAGTATCTGCAGTATCTAGGCAAGCTTGTGAAGCCTCATCAACATGACCAAGAATATGAGACATTAATTTCGTATTTGAGTAGAAAATCCGTTGACAAACCGCACATTTAAATCTGAAATCACCTTTTTCTTCCACATAATCAGCATTTCCATCTTGGCGCCCAAAATAATACTCGTCGATTGGAATGTACTTAACTAAATGATTTTAAATAGGATTGAATGATAAAATAGGTAATAAACAATATTGTGAGGCTTACGAACTCCGGATGAGCTAAGTTAGGAATAAAATAGTTCTAGGAAATAACCGCAGGATAGTTATTTTATCGAGTTCAGTGTTAACGGAATTTTACGAATTGTTTTTAATATGGCTACTGAGCAAATGAAGTTACTTACGCCATGGTGTGATTGAAAGTTAAGAACAGAAAACTCTTATACAACATGGTCACGTGTTCGTTCGGACAAGTATTTTGAAAAAAAAAACATAAATTGGCATTATTGGGAACTATAGACAGAAATCCTAAGGATTTCCAATGTATAGAACCTATAAATTATCAACAGGGTATTGAAAACCTAATCAGTATGTTTCTTACCGCGTATCGTATTTTAGGGGTGTTTAAAAGGTATCTAGATGAAGATCACACACTTCTTAGACAGTTTTTCGTTTACTTTTCCTAATAAATGATGGTTATGATATACAAGGAAGGCCTTGGTAACTTTAAACTGAACCACATTGACCTTTACTACTAGCTAACTAGTTAGTTTTGCTTTGAGTTTATGATTTTCCTATGTTCTAAAGTCATAGATATTGTTGTACGTAGGTTGTTATATGACATCTTGAATTCCGTAGAATAGCAAGCTTTCAGACCGAACCACGACATATCTTGTAATCCTTAATAATTAGCAATAATCTTACGAAGAACCCTATTTGATGTCATTTTTACCGACAATCACGTTTTCTGAATTGATAAAACTATGTGGAGGAGCACTGAACTGTCAGTAAATTCAAACAAATGAATGTATATTATATACATAGGGCATAGAATTCAGTTTTCTTCTTTTTGATTTTATGAATTTGCAAAATCGTTAGAAATAGTATGTAGACAATTTGGGGTCAACAATGGATTTCTAAGAACAAATTAACGAAATTATCAATCTTACTCACCTCCTTTACCATCTTTACATGGCTTTTTAACTGATAAACCCTTAAATGATTGAACTATTTCAATGCTTCCTTCTGGACCAGAATTTATGATATTGACTTCTGGTTCTGGAGCATCTTCATCTACATCTGCAGCATTACGAAAAACAATAGTAGGCGGTAAGAAAGTTCGTAGTGGCCGGACAGAACCGTGGAGTTTTGCTCGTTCACCTTCAACAAAGCATTCTGAAATATGAACTGCGGGCCAGTCAGAACGAATAGGTTTTTCAGAATCTAAAAACTCATCAGGAATAGGAACATGAGCCTTAACTATGGCTACTTCACCCTCTGAAACATGAAAATTAATGTAACATAGAAGTCTACCTTCAGAAATAGGAAATTCCCAATTATTTTGCTGCAGCGTATTATACACAGATATCGCCCCGGCATGTTGAAGTGCGTTTAAGGACTCTCCAGTTAGTAAACCATGCTCTCCTATTGTGACAGCCTCTTCTGTCACGCATACATTGCTACAAAGCGCAAGGCGACTGACTGCATCCAAAAATGTGCGGTATTCTCTAAGAGAAATAGTAGAAATGAATTTATGAGTCAATTTATCATACTGGACGAATAGCAACTACGAACAAACTTTCATTACACTAAAACATTCAGTTCCCCAATAAACATGTTAGTACATATGCTTATTGAATGAGAAAACTTATAGTTCTACTTTTTAGGACACTGTACCTGAACTTAAACTTATAACCTGGTATTAAAATACGTTGAGGACTGCTATGTCATTCAGTGATAGGACAGTTAAGATGGGCGTTTTGATAACGATAGTCGTTATATAGGCCAGCGATACTGTCATAATATGTTACTTACGGGCGAGTCCGATAGTAGGCTTACTATAACTGTTTTTGTCATAGAGAGAGAAGTATCTAATGGCAATGTTAATATTGTTAACAATAACACTCTTCTCTTTGAGCCCCAGCTTCAATGTACATTCACCATTCGGAAACTTTATACATCGGTCTAGGCGCTGATCAACTACAAAACATCCATAACAACCTGCTTTCTCATTGTGATCAACTGTACCTAATGTCCAAACGAGCAAGTGCGTCACAGATTACAGCAACTAGTTTGATAGCCATGTATTTATTGAACCCAACACGATACAACCCTGGGTCACCTATCTCCCTTAATTCAGAGATGGTTTCTGCAGATATTTCATTAAATTCCACCGGTTTAGTATTCTCTCTATAGATACCTATCATAAACACGTTACTAAACCTAGGGGCAATCATGTGTCATAATATAGGCCATGACTGTTGACTAGAGCTCGTTGAAAAAGAAAGTCTGTCTACGCAGATATCCAAGTTCAACGTATTAAAATCACAGCTACACAGCCAAAGTTCTACATATCTAAGCAGGTTGGTTTTCAATTCTAGATTATAGTAAACATGATTGCTGATGAACTTAGGTTGGACGCTTGTGATCTTTCGTAGGAAACTTCTGTTCCTTGGTTGTAGAACGAAAACAGGTAATGTGAGTACTAACTTAAGATGATAACCTTTCACTGCTGTTATGTAGGTGAAGTGTTTACTATTAAAAAAACATTAACGTAAGTCGCACATTATGTCGGCAGTTGAAAACTGTTGTCAGTTTGTTTGTTAAATTTCAGAACACAGAGGAGGGATGCTTATATTCGGAGTAGTAACAATGCAGTTTGAGAAGGGTGTTGTTTTAGAAATTTGTTTTAATGTTAGATCTGATTTCCTTTTAAAGTCTTCTCTTACCGTGGATTACTTTTTCATTTGTATGTAATATGCTGAAACTGACAAAATATATGTTATGTTTTATTTCATATGCACCAAGCAAATAGGACACATTTTGAATGAACAACACACTGACTGTAATTTCTTCTGCAGATCTTTGTAAATGACAGTGGAACTGCACTAACAACAGAAATATGTAACGAGCAACTGTCTTTTATTAATCTAGTAAACTATGTCATTATTTCCTATCAAATAATGTCTTGAACAATGTATCTTTTTTCGATCAAGTCAGAGTATGCCTTAGGGTATTCTGCATTAGAAGTGAAAGCGAACATACGAAACATTTGTGGCTAAGCGAAAGGTAGACAATTACGCCTACATTTGGGCGAGATGTTTTGATGATATTTCGAAGGTATAGCGACCAAAAGTGAAGTCAAGGGAAGCTTCTCGTCAGGTATTCCGTTTTTTTAAATTCCCGATGAGACCTCTCCACCCCCCTTGCCCGGTAATATTTCTCACTGTCTCTGTAACTTGGGGGGTCAGTTTATTAACAGAAAACTGTGACACATTACATGAAACAATAAATACTGAATGATAAATATAAGCACTAAGCCCCTTATTAATGAAGCGGACAAAAGTAAACAACCTCGATAAAGAAACAATTGTTACAAGATTGGTATGGATTTTTAAATATAATTAGACTGTAACTTCAAGACATAACTTACTGTAGGCGTGTTTGATAAGCCTTTATTTGTGCATCTGATAAAGATTCATCATCACAAATGAGTGATAATGTAGCAAGACATCTCTTACGATGATCTGTTCTGTACGGCAGAGGAGCAAAAGGCTGCGACATTATGACCTTGAGACTAATGTATATATCTAAACAAACCCATGATATAATATTGCATGAAAATTCTCAGCCCTTAATTAATTTTTAGTGATAGATATGGAAAGTTGTATGGAGTGCATATATCCTTTGAAGTTATAAAATTACTAATATTCATTTCTGAATTTTCACAATGACTTGAAAAAAACAGTTTAGAGACAAAGACAAAATGTCAGTCAGTCCCTTTGGTTATTTTTGTGTTCCATATGAGGAATGGATAATTGGTAATATTTAAGCATCGACAAACGGTGGTGATACTACGTGTTCATGACTTCATCAGTACCAGTATTTGAAAATGAGTTGCGAGACTTAAATGAAAACAATTTTCGTTTCTGAACTTTCTGTGACTTTCCCTTCTTTCGCTTAGTCTTAAAAGGAGAAATTGGTGATATATTATTCAGAACAACCGGTATTTGAAAATCATCGTATCGCCGTAATTGTACAAACGTTCTTTGCATCAAAATCCGCTCGATTTTCGAACTGGGTCCGTTACCTTTTCCGAAATGGTCCAAGAACTAAGTCTTGTTTCAGACCCTATTGTATTGCATATTTGGTCGTGCCTCCACAATTATGCCTACAATGATGCTTTATTTGCAGCTGAAAGATTATATGCTGAAACACATAATAGCGAAAGCCTTTATATACTGGCAACCAGTTTGTATCGAATCGGCAGGCCGAGACAAGTTAATAAACTACTCAACTCTGTCAATTCGTTATCTCCTAAGAGTCGGTTAGTTTCTTAAAAATGGATTTACATTCGTTTATTAGATACTTGCTTGCAAAATGCTACTATGACATTGGTTCACTAACGGAGGCTGAAGATGCTATACTGTTTTCTGGTCTTTCTTCTTCGTCCCTAGACGAGATAACCAGTACTTATGAAGAACAATCTTGCTACGTTTTACTACTTCTAGGGGATATTTGCAAACATCAAGGAAGACTTAGTGATGCTATTATTTACTACAAAAAATGTCTCGAAATGAATCCTCTTATGTGGTCTGCATTTAAAAACCTATGTAATATCGGTGAATATGTTGAGCCTTCCTCTGTTTTCCAGAATCCTAGTGGGCTTAAACTAACAACACCTGTGTATGCCGTTATGCTCGACGATCTACACAGTAATCCGTATGAAAGTGCTTCACGAGAAAATGTCAACCCTCAAAACTGTGAGTCTTTTACCACTCAGGCTTTAATGTCGTCAAAAGATTGTGAAAGTAGTGATCAGGAAACATTTGTTGATACAGATTGTCTGTACACCAATCAACGTCATTTTGTCTCGTTTTGCTCTAGAAGCTTTATTGGTGATTTGGTACCTTCTCTCAAACCTGTAGACGTTCATACCCCAGACAAGGTTTTGCCTTCTGCTTTGTCTCCGAAAGCTCCGAAACCTGTTAACCGAGTTGCACGCAAATTGGCACAAAATGTAAACTCGCAGTCCATGAAACCAAATGTACCTCGTTTTGGTTTACTTTCTTTTTTTCCTCAAAGTCCCATGTTCGCTTGTGTTCCCGTAAGTTCATGCTCTTTCTTAGTGTGTTATCAGTGTCCCTCATATTGCTTTTTAAGCTCATTTTCGAAACTAGTATCTATCTATTTTTCTTAAACTTTATTAAGTCCTCTATATTTATTACTCAATGTGATGAATTAGTGTAAAATTGTTGTGAGCAACATGTATCAAAATATCTCTAGTCGCTTAAACATAATAATCCTATCAGAAGAGTGGTTGGTTGTTTGTATTTCGGGGACAGTTGCGGGACTTGTGACAACAATGAAGACTTATGTTGAGTTGCTGTCAAGCGACTCGATCTATAATTATACATAGGTAATATAATATAAAGGCATGATATGTTTCTTAATCCATTGTATGGAGACTATAGTTTAGGAAGCGATATGTAACGTAGTGATAAAGGAAGACATAAGACAGTTCACAACGGAAGAATTCGGAAAACTGGCAAATGCGATGGCAACTTGTCCCATCTGTTTATTCTCTATTCCTAGAGGAGATGCGTATTCGGAATGGATAGATATTGATATAACCTAAAGGTATTTACCGATCGGTTTATGGCTACTTCAGTTGGTAATATTCCAGAGCACACAAAACCATGATGCGAGATAATGAAATTGCTTAGCTTTTGGAATCTCCTCGACGTATGTAGGATTCATTTGTTTGGATTCCCGAAGTTACTCGGTATACTGTTTACTGTTGTATGGTGGATTGACGGATAGGTCGTCAATCGCCCTTCATTAGCTCGATGACTAGATTTCTGCCTTGGGCTTCTCGTTGCCTCACAGATACCACCTAGAATAGTGATTGTTCTCACTAGTTTCTGATAATTGTCATTGGACAAGAAGTCCCACTCGAAGAGCGATAATTTGTAAGATACTACCTCTATAACCAGCCGCTATCTTTAAAACCATTTTAACTGATTATCATCATGTTTGAAGTATTCGTCTCTGAAGTTTCTACTTGACCACCATATCCATGTCATCCTAACCTACAAATTGTGAAATGATTGTTCAGGAATCACATCGTTTCTTGTATGATTTCATAGTTCATTTCGCTATCATACTTTAGGTATTTTCAAAAATTTCTGAGAATCAAACTACATCTCCGGAATCAATCCTCTCGAAAGCTGTGCAGTTGCCTTCAAGTCAGTGCTTACCAGAGTTACAGTTTACTCTTAACTCATTTAATAATAGCCAAAATGATATAACCTGTTTCCAAATCCCTCGTCAGCGAAATGATACTTCATGCAACAACAACACAACTATGGGGACTAAAAGGGCCCCTCATATTGATGAATCGAATGGAGACAGAAATGCTGCATATAACGTCAAAATTAATACATCTGTTACCTCTTCAGAGAAATCTAATGCTCTCTCCGATACACCGACCAGTGCTTTACGTCATCTTGTCTCCACTGCAGCATCTAATCTTGGTTTTCTAACGCTTGAGCCAAATGTTACTTCAACTACCACCTCTCTTGTCAGCACACCAAGTGCCCGTCTTGAGCCACCTCTTTTACGTAGTACTTCTCAACGCAATTTGTATCCTACGCCCAGCGCCCGCCACAACCGCGATTCTCTCTCAGTATTGAGATCAAATTTGCAGTTCTTCAATCCTGCTTCTCAAAGTCCTGGCATGTTGACTTCTTCTTCAACACCAAGACCACTTTCGAGTCAACAAACATCTACGGGGTGTCGAGCTGTCGAGAACACCACTTCTGTAGACATTTCTACAGGTGGACCTCGGACAAGGTCTCAGGTTGCAGCAGCTGCAGCTGTAGCCAGAGCTTCTGGGATTCAGAGAAAGTCGAATAGATTTTTAAGAAGCCGAGGTCAGAACCGCAAGTTTGATTCTAAATTACTACTATCGGACTCGACGGGAAACTCTGCAAACATGCAACCTAAAATAACCAGTTCAGGTGCATATCCTGACCCCAGTTCCTTTAAAAGTATACATACTTCTACAAATGAAGATGCACCAGATTTCGGATGCAGCAATCATTATAATGCACCCTTGTCAATCGATGCCCCACCTATAACAGATGACCCGAGAATGCTCTCACTACAACAGTATTTAAACTTGTTAAGTCAACTTGGCAAAGCTTATCAAATGTTGGTACGACATCAGTGGCGTTCAGCTACCCGTCTACTTTTAAAACTTCCAAGCTCTCAACTTCATACTGGTCGTGTTTTGGCGTGGGCAGCTCGTGCTCATATGGATAATTCAGATTATCAAACAGCTCATAAGTTGTTCAATGAAGCTCGTCGTATGGAACCATGGCAGCTATCTGGAATGGACTTCTACTCGACAGTATTATGGCAAGTCCAAGCTGATCAGGAATTATCACAATTAGCTCATGATTTATTAGAACTTGATCGTAATGCTCCTGAACCTTGGTGTGTAGCGGGTAATTGTTTCTCTTTGCAAGGTGAACATGAAGCGGCTATTAAATTCTTCCGTCGTGCTCTTCAGGTAAATAGCTTTTTTCGACTCAGTGTACAATACTACTTTATCGTTTCCCTCTATGCCTTTCCCACATAGCTTATAAAAATAGCCAGTAACTTCATGTTGTACTACATTTCTTTTGTATTTTGTATTTTTTTTCTGTTTCAGTGGATGAAAACAATAAATAGCTATAACTTAAAAGTAATGAGTTTCCCGTCACATTTTAGGTGACTGTGGTCTTCATCATTGTGAGCCATTAGTATCTTTTGAGCATTCTCAAGACCACAACTCAATTCATATCTTTCGTGTATGTTTACTGATTTTATTCATTGGGTTTGTTTCTGATTACATGAAAACGTTACAGTTATGGTATTAAACATACAGAGCCAAACAGTGAAAACTGGAAAGGCTTCTTTTCAAACAACCTGTATACATGAATTTGGGAAAATGAAATTTATGTTGTGAGGATAATATTTCATATACTACATACAGCGATTCCTTGACATTATATCTGTTTCGGTTTAAGAACATAAGTTGTATTGTAACTATACTGGTTAGTCCTCAAGAAATCTATTCCCTCTTAATTAATGAAATCAAGCAGTTAAATCACATTAAGTAAGCATTTCTAGATTTACCTTTTATATTATCAATCTTTACCGGGTTACTTACAGGCTCGTCAGTTTACTTAATTCTTTTTACTGATGTTCGGGACTTTAAATGATTGTCCTGTCGTTTATGCTTTCGTTTTCTAGGTTTCACCTACAAGTGCTTATGCTTGGACACTTTTGGGTCATGAACAGTCAACTCTAGAAGAGTTTGATCGAGCACTAGCAGCTTTCCAGTTCGCCTTAAGAATTGATCCAAGACATTATAATGCTTTGTTTGGCATCAGTAATGTTTATTACAAACAAGAAAAGTTCGATCTTGCCGAAAATTACTTGGTTCGCGCAGTTGCACTTTTCCCTCAGTCACATTTACTTTTGACTCATCTTGCAGCTTTACGCAGTCGACTAGGTAGACTTGATGATGG